AGTCATGGTCAATAGAAGCTAAAATAAAAAGACCCAAGGTTGACTCCAGGGCTCTTCTGTAACTTCTTGAAAGTTGACACATTACTTTGGGCAACCAAATAGGAAAACTGAGATTTTTCAGTGAAATAAAATAGGGATCCAAGAAACAAACCAATAAGGTTGCTATGATCATTCAGTGAGAGAAAGAATTTTCTTTTCAACTAATGGTACTGGGATAATAGGATATCAACATGCAAAAGCATGAAGTTAGACCCTTACATCATATACAAAAATTAACTTCAAATGGATTGTAAAGATTTACATCTAAGAACTAAAGCTATAAAATTCTTAGAAGAAAACATGGGAATCCTTTATTACATTGAATGTGGCAACAATTTCTTGGATATGATGCCAAAGCACAGACAACAGGAGAAAAAAATAGATAAATTGGAATTCATCATTAATTAATAAATGTTGTTCATCAAAAGACACTATCAACAAAAATATAACCCAGTGTTTATAAATATTATATCTGAGGAAGGATTAATATCCAGAATATATAAAGAATTGTTACAACTCAATAACAAAGAAATGGCCTAGTTAAAAAATGGACAAAGCACTCTAATAGACATTTCTCCAATGAAGATACAATAATGGCCAATGAACACATGAAAAGGTGTTCAGCATCACTAATTGTTAAGAAATTGCAAGTCAGAACTATGAGACTCCAATTCACACCTATTAGGATGGCTATTATGAAAAAATTCAAAAATGTCAAGTGCTGATAAGGATGTGGAGAAATTATAATCCTTGTGCATTGCTAGTGGGAATATAAAATGCTGCAACCTCTGTGGAAAATAGTATGGTGGTGCTTTATGGAATTAAATATGGAATCACCATATCCTGATATTCCACATCTAATTATATACCCAATAGTATTGGAAGCATGGATTTAAACAGGTATTTGTAGACCCATGCTTGTAAGAGCATTATTTACAATAACTAAAAAGTACAAACATTCAAGTGTCCATGGACAGATAAATGGAGAAACAAAATGTAGTATACACATATAATGAACTATTATTCAGCTTTAAAAAGGAATGAAATTGTGACACATGCTACAACATGGGTGGAATATGAAGGCCTTATACTAATTAAAATAAGGCAGTCACAATAGAAAAAATATTGGATAATTCTGCTTTTATGAGGTACCTAGAATAGTCAAATTTATAGAAAAAAATAGAAGGGTAATTGTCAGAGGTTGGGTGAGGATTGGAAATGGTAAATTAATATTTAAGAAGTTCCACCTGGGGGGAAAATGTTCTGGTGTCTGATGGCGGTAATGATGCACATTTAAAAATGTTTAAAATGGTAAACTTTATCTATTATGTGTTTTAACACAATAAAAAATTAGGAAAAAATCCCTTTATGATATTGCCAAAAATAACATAATATTTTGAATTAATTTTGTGAAGGAAGTATAAGATAAACCATGAAAACTAAAAATACAATACTGACTGAAAGATCTGCATAAAATATAGACATGCCATGTTCATGTAGTAGAAGTTTCAATATTGTTAATACAGAAATACTTCCCAAATCAATCTACAAATTCAACATAATTCTTAACAAATCTAAGCAGTATTTTTTTTTGCAGAAATTGACAAGCCGACCATAAAAGTCATACAGAAATTCAAGGTACATGGAATTTAAAAAACAACCTTGAAATCAGTTTCCAACCCACAGAATGGGAGAAGATATTTGCAAATGACACTATAGACAATGGGCTGATATCCAAGATCTATAAAGAACTCCTCAAACTCAAAACACAGAACAGATAATCATGTCAAAAAAATGGGCAGAAGGTACATGAACAGACACTTCTCCAAAGAAGACATACAAATGGCTATCAGACACATGAAAAAATACTCATCATCATTAGCCATCAGGGACATTCAAATCAAAACCACATTGAGATACACCTTACATCAAATGGCCAAAATTAGCAAGACAGTAAACAAGTGTTGCAGAGGATGTGGAGAAGGGGAATGCTCTTACACTGTTGGGGGGAATGCAAGTGGGTGCAGCCACTTTGGAAAACAGTGTGGAGATTCTTTAAGAAATTAAAAATAGAGTTACCCTATGACCCTGCAATTGCACTACTGGGTGTTTACCCCAAAGATACAGAAGTAATGAAAAGAAGGGCCATCTGTACCCCAGTGTTCATAGCAGCAATGGTCATAATCTCTAAACTGGGGAAAGAGCCAAGATGTCCTTCAACAGACAATTGGATAAAGAAGATATGGTCCATATATACAATGGAATATTCTGCCTCCATCAGAAAGGATGAATATCCAACTTTTGTATCAACATAGATGGGACTGGAGGAGATTATGCTGAATGAAATAAGTCAAGCAGAGAAAGTCAATTATCATATGGTTTCACTTATTTGTGGAGCTTAAGGAATAACATGGAGGACATTAGGAGAATGAAAGGAAAAATGAATTGGGGGAAATTGGAGGGGGAGACAAGCATGAGAGACTGTGGACTCAGAAACAAACTGAGGGTTTTGGAGGGGAGGGAGGTGTGGAGACAGGTGACCCTGGTCGTGGGTATTAAGGGCATGCATTGCATGGAGCACTGGGTATGGTGCATAAACAATCTTGGAACATTGAAAAAATAAAATAAAAAGAAGCCTCGAAACTTCTTTCAAGAACATGCTTCTTAATTCCAAATCACAATACAAAGGTAAAATAATCAAGATGGTGTAGTACTGTCTTAAGGATAAGGATAGACATTAGTTCGATGGAATAGAATAAAGAGTGCAGAAATAAAACTTCATGCTTAAGCCATAGATCTTTGACAAGATACCAAGACAATTTAATGGGAGGAAAGAATGGTCTTTTCAACAAATGGGAGAAGTAGATAACCACATGCAAAAGAAAGAAGTTAGATTGCTACATCACAACATTCATAAAAATGATCAGAAAATGGGTCATAGTTCTATATGTAAGAGTTTAACTTATAACAACACACATAACTAAATTTGGGGGGACTTGGCATAGGCTATGTTTTAGGAAACACCAAAGCATAAGTGGGTAAAGTAACAATAGACTGATTGAACTTCTTTGAAATTAAGAACTTCTGCACTGTGAATGATACAACCAAGAAGACAAACTACTGAATGAGAGTAAATATTTGCAAATCATATATCTCATATGGGACTTGTATCCAGAATATGTAAGCAATACTTAAAAGTTCATAATTTTAAAAAAGACTACTCAATTAAAAATGGGAAGATATTTAAATATATATAACTCCATAAAAATATACAAATGGCCAATAAGCCTATCTTTAAGATAATTGTAACAAAAATACAGGCAATGAATGTTAGTGAGAATGTGGATAAATTGGGATCTCCTTGATGCCCTTTGTTCAGCACTGCTCTAACTCTGGTGTCTCCTTTCCTCTCTCTACTCAGTAAGAGCTGCTGTTGAATTAGCTTTAGGTTATCTCATAGTGTGTGTGTGTTTATATATCTTTCCCTTTCCCTTCAGTGCTTCACCATGCAGATTCTAGCCATTAAAACTGTCGTGAATACTTTCTTCTGACTCCTTAACTCAGTGGGAATTCAGCATTTTCCCTAGGACTTCCAATTCTCTGTGCTGAGATCAGTAAATTGTCCATGGGTAAAATTGGATTTTTATAAAATCAATATCATGTTTCCTTCCTTCAGATATTATAGCTTTGCATTTTTTGTTGCTTTCCAGAAACCATTTATTTCAAGTATTTTGTCCTATTATATATTTTGTTATGAGGATTAATCACCATTTAATAAAAAATAATCATCATAGCCAAAGCAGAAGCTCTTTTTTCCTTAGAATAATGGATATTGCCAAATTAATCCAATAATGATTAGGTTCAGGTTGGTTAATAAGTCTTTGGAGTAATTAAGCACATGAGAAGGAAGCTCCACTTCTAGTATGATATAATTTTTAGTTATGGTGAATAGATGCCTGGGAGATGAGGCAGGAAAGGATAGCTTTAAAAGTATTGAGTTCTACCATAGCCTAAGCCCTCTATATATGTGTTTAATTTTAATATTTTGCATATATTTGTCAATTTATTTCCTTTAATACATGTAACATCCTGAGTCACTTTCTTTTAGGTAAATCACTTCTTATCAACATATAATTGGATTTTATGGATTTTATGTTTTAAAGTTATAGAAATTTTATCTTTCTTTGAGAGACACTAAATTCATTTGCATTTAGTATCATAATTGTTTTGGTGGTGATTCTGATTGCTTAATTTAGTCTTTTATGTATTTACTTGTATAGTTTATTTTGTTTAATTGGAACAATGTTTCTTGGGTTTTTCTAATTTTCTGTAATGTTTTTATAACATCTAGAGGAATATTTATTTTTCTAAGTAATATAGTCAAAATTAGAATAATATCACCTTATACAGATAATATGGAAATTTAACTTAGTTTACAGTCATTATTGTTTTTTAAAAGTAGTCATCAATTACGTCAGTAATTTTTTATTAGTTTTTTTATATTAAATTAGTTTTAAAATACTTTTTTGTTTTACTTTTTTAATGGAAGAAATATTAGGTAAGTATCAATTCAATGTATACTACGTAGCTCACAGAAGGGAATGTAATAGAATAAAATATATATGATAAAGCACATAACTAAATATACATATAAAGATTAAAAATAAATGTATATCAGTGATATAGATAGCTAGATATACATATACATATATACATATAATTATAATGGACTTTGGGGAATAGTCACACAACACAGGAAAATGCTTTTAATTTTTTCTAATTTTCTAATTTTCTGTAATGTCTTTATAACATCTAGAGGAATATAAATATAAAAGTTAGGGATCCAAATAATACAGTAAGTCTTACTGTATTATTTGAATCCCTAACTTTTATATTTCAAATCACTAAAATATTTTTAATATAATTCTTGAAAAAGTTAAAAGATACTCTCATGTTTTCAGCTAACGAGAAGTACCTGCCTATAAAACGACGCCCTCCTTCTCGAAAAAATAACTTCTTGTTTGGTTTCTACATTTTTCTGCCTCTCCTTGTTTTAACCGCCATCATTGCTTTTAAATGCAATAAAAAAAGATTTGGGGACCGAGAGGGAACAGCAACTGATGGGTAAGAAAACTTTTTATTATTTATATTTAACATTAAAATGCATTGCAAGAGGAATTCAATTGTAATTAAGAATGTTGCAAGTAGGGATTCTTGGATGTAGTGTGTTAATATTTTGAAATATTGAGCCTTAGTATATACCAACTTGTTTCTAAATTTGTCAGTCAGATATCCTTTATGTTCTTATAGGTCAGAAACAACTGAAGATACTTAGTAAGTCCATAGGACCTTTCAAGTAGAAAACCATGTTAACTATAATTTCTTCAGGAGTGATTTCTACTTCCCAAGCAACCCCACTTTCCTTGCATTGACATTCAGTTGTGCCAAGGAGATTAGTAAAGATAGAGAAGGAAATTTTGTGACTAGAATATGTAGAAGGTGAGAAAAATATAAAAAGAATATAAGATATGAAAGAAAGAACACAGATCACGAAGTCACAAACCATTTTACACTTAATATTGTTCATGTTTTTCTAAAATTAGAATTAAGGTACTTGCACAGCTATTTTTTTATTTTTGGTAGAGCAGAGCTTGATTAGGTCTTTTATTTTAATTAAATATAATTTACATATGATATTATATTAGTTTCTGGTGTACAAAATAATGATTCAATATTTTTTATATATTGCAAAATGAGCACCACAATGTATTGTTAATGCCCATTACCATACATAGTTAACAAGTATTTTTTCCATCTGATGCTGACTTTTAAGATCTACTCCCTTAGCAAGTTTCAAAGATGTAATACTGTATTGTTAGCTATAGTCACTATGCTGTATATTATATACCCATGATTTATTTATTTTATATCTGGAAGTTTGTACCTTTTGGCTCCCTGAACCCATTTTGCCCACTCTGCACACTCATCTCTGGCAACCACCAATCTGTTTTCTGTATCTAGGAGTTTGTTTGTTTATTTAGTTGTGGATTATACATATAAGTGAGAATATATCATAGTTGTCTTACTCTGTCTGAATTATTTTGCTTAAATTAAACACAGCTTTTTTCTTTACCGTCACACCAATACAAGCCATAATTTTGCTAGTGGATGTTTAGGAAAATGAGAATGCAGAAGTAAAGATAAATAAGTGGATCTTGTTGTTCCATGCTAAAGGAAAATATCTTTTTTTCTTACTTGTGTAGATGGAGATAAAATAATATAAAATTTCCATCGACATCTCCCTTTCTCAAGTTAGTTCATTTTATTTCTCAACAAGTTAGTAAGCAACCAGTTAAAGTTACCATAATTTGTACAGATATTTCCATAATAATTAAATTGTTATAATTTATTTAATTGAATGATGTCTGGCATAAGCCTTCCAAGGCTTTTACTTAAGACATCCTGGAAAAATCTGAATAGTTGCTAGAAACAAATCTGACTTTTGGAAGAAATGTTATACTAAGGGATCATTGGTCATAAATAACAAAATCTGGTTATAACAGCCCAAGTTTTAGATCAACAGTAAGTGGTTTTAGGGCCACAAAGGTAAGTTATTATGTAGAGCTGAAGTCCAAAGGAATGGTAATGAATTAGATATTCAGGAAATTGATTATTCTTTCCATCACCCAAGGACTTTATGAATGAAAACATCTCTTCTTGTCTATCAATTCCCTCCAAAATGACTTCTCTGCTTGCACATAGTCCAGCATACCTATCTCAATCCTTTCTAGATTCATTTTCAAAGAAAATACAAATAAGCTGTCCAGAGCCAATGCTTCTTAGTTCACATTTTCAAGAGATAAAGAAAATAGCTGTACAAATGTATCTAAATTCAGCTAATGTTCTGTCTGGATTTATAGTTCTGAGTTAGGTGTTCAAACCTGATCTCATCATCTGTGGCCAAGGAATTGTTGCCATGTAATAGGAATCCGAACACTCCTCTTCAACAGGAACTGAGTATGTATAGGAGCCAAAGGAAAACAAAAATGGAGGCTATATAAATTCCACAACATGTAATATTGTAGCTGGAAGATATAGAGGACTCATTTAGGACCTCAAAAAAAGTGAATAGTTATTTACATAGTTAATTGATGGAACAATAAAATTGGAAATATGATAACCTTAAAAGTAATGTTATTTTTTTTGACGCAGGTTTATATCAGAAGACAGCGATAGTAACAGCACCATGTCATAGAGTTAAAGGTGAATTAAAAGAATCAAATTATTTAAAATGTTATTCATGAAAAGGTTTTTTAAAAGAAATTTAATAATACTTCACTATAAGGAAGCTATTGTTCCACATTTCATCATACTGATTCTTATTTATCAATATCATATACTAAAACAAAGGCCAAAAGCGTTTGATAATTTTGTTTTATATTAATTTAGAAATGTTAATATTAACTAATATTAGCTAGAGATTAGCTAGAGATTTATTAAGCAACATATTTATAATGAAAAATTACATTAAAGAGAATTTAAATATATTCTTAAAATATTTATGAGCAATTATGCATCCCTCTCTGACACTTGAAATTCTTATTAGTAGATATACACAGATTAACTCCTGCTGTTTATATTTATTCTTCACTAAGACTCCATGGTTATTGTTATTCTCATACTAAAATGAGGAAACAGACATAAAGAATTTAAGTAATTCCCTGCGAATTTTAGCAAATTTCAGTGAGTTTTGAACTGGAGTTTCATTTAAGACAACCAGACTCCAGGGTTAAACTCTTAAGAACTCTACAATTTTGACACATAGCCTGCTATATCTGGTGAAGGGGAATGGAATTTACATTTATTGAGGATCTATTAGATGCCAGGCAAAATGATAAATTAACTGTCCCTCCAGGGTAGAAAGATAATTCTTTGCTAAAAGAAGGAATAAGGTTGGCATCTGTATATATTCGATACACGTACCTATATATTCTCTCTGTCTCTCTCTCTCTCTCTCTCTATATATATATATATATATATATGAATATGTCTGTATGTATTCAAATTTATGAGACATATACATAAATAATAATATTTGACATATTAGACATATCACTGGGAGTAAATGTAAAAATTCAACCATGAGTGAAAATAAGAGTTCATCCAATTACTACTGTGCCATTCCTCCATATTTTACTTTGATGGAAAGTTAAGTCTATGGATCTCTGTTTACCGTCTGCCACCAGAGAAGACATTTACAAATACTATCCTACATGTAAAATGGTCTTATTTCTCAGTAAGGGTAAATGGGAGAGTTGGTGGTGAGGAAGGAGCTGGATAGAGGTTTTGAATATGATTGAAAGAGTGAGCCCTATTCAGCAAGGGATTTGTAAGCAAAGAGTTGGAGGAGGTGCAACTATTTATCCAGTTCAGATGTCAAAGTAGGTACTTGACTTCCCAGGGTCAACTCGCAGGAGGCTTTTATTTAAATGGAAAGGATACAGTGCAGCTAAGAGAAGGCAAGCAAGCACATAGACACCTCATGCACAAGGCCTCAGGTTTCCTTATTTTGAATTGTAAACAGCCCATTACAAATCCCACTGCCATTGTCTTGGCAAAAAGTGAAACCAGGCATCCAGGCTTTCCCAGAGAGAAAGAGCTTTTCCATTCCAGCTGTAAATTAACTCTTTCTGATACAGGTGTAGAGCTGGCAGAGGTATGCATGCATACATCTGGGCAGGAGCTTTCCAAGCACGTGAATGATCCAATGAAAAAATAAGTCAGGAATATTTGATGAATAAAAGTGATGTTAGTTTAGCTGGAGTAGAGTTAGCAGGCGGCTTGTGGTAACAAGTCAGACAGTAAAACTCCTGTAGACTGTGGGAAGTCTTGGTGGCCACCTGTGTTTTATTCTCAGTGAAAGGGGGAAATCACTGGAGAATGAAAGTTTCAAGCCTATGACTTCCACATTTAAAGGCTGGTTTGTAAAGGATGAATAAAATAAAAGTCTGGTTTGTTGAAAATAGTCTGTATAATGACAAGAGTAGAAGTAGAGAAACCAGTTAGTGGCGAAACTACTGCCATGATCCAGGAGGGAAGGGGTGGTACCTCTGACCAGGGATAGTAAAGATGGTCTTAGGAATAAATGTTCAAGGTGACCAACAGAATGAATTGACAGTTTGAATATAAAATGTAAGAAAAAGTGCTTAAATAATGTTTATTGATAAAGCAGTAAGATAAGCAAGGTTAAATGTAAACACAGGCTTGTTTTCAAATTTGTGTTCTTAGTACATTTTAAAATGTACATTAAAATTTATGAACATTTTGAGAGAAAAATCTGCATAGGTAATGGTGAGCCAAGACAAGTGCCTGGTATGCTCTGGCCAGTAGTTTGTTTTCTCATCTGCGAGAAAGTATTTTTCCTATAAAGTATTTTTGAAGTGGTAAGGGAATGATTCAGCATGGCATGGTTTTCTTTTTACAAACTTTACTGGGATAAAGTAGGGAAAAAGTCACTCAGACTCAGTAAGAACCAGAGGCTAGTGAAACAGCTATGAGACTAACGAATACACAGAAATGCAGGAGGAGGCAGAATCAGGTAAGAGGAAAGGAACAGGAAAATTTGGGGAGATATAACAGAGGTCGACTCAATTGAAGGGGTGACTGGATGGGTATACTTTGAGAGAACTACAAAGACTTAAACATTTCTGACACAATGGATGACAACAACTTTTAGTCATGACATATTGTGTAGCTAGGTCAGCACCAGTTTGTGTTGGTGTTGACGTGGAGGGGTGAACAAAGAGTTTGGTTTTGAACATGTATATGCATGTGAGACAACTGTTGGAAATGCACAGAGGACTTCTGGAAGTACTCTTCCTCTGAAGATAAAAATAGACTAATAGTTATTATTTATTTCTTCACATATTTTTCTTTTCCTCTGTTTCCTTGTTGATGATTTTCTTTTGTCTGCATGAATTGTTAAAACTGTGTAAATGAAATGTATGTGACTACCATTTTATAGTATTTCCCTTTACTGGGGCTGTTGCAGATAATTCAGGAAAAAGAAAGCTGGGTTTAAGAATTTCATGGAGCATAGGCATAGACTGTGGCACTAAAAGCAGTGCTCTATAGGCTAATTACTTGCTACACCTGTAGTTGCACCATAAAATTAGATAGCTTTTATTAACAACTAAAATTTAGTATTTCCTTTTTCTATACTTGTTTCGCGACAGTGACTAAATGATGTCAAAAAGCCAAAGGTTGGAGAAAGAATATTATCAAGACGTTCACTGTTAACAGCTTTGCTCTTGAGTGTGAAAAAAAAAAAATCTGCTATTCTCTCCTTTTGTTACGGCTTAAAGTTTTGAATTTCACAAAAATAAATCCTGGGAGTGAAAATATGTAGGCTTGTGTCTATTGATTCTCCTACCTGCTGTGATCCTCTAGGAAAAAATAAGCAACATTGCCTCTTTTGAACCAGGGAAGTTTATACATCCCAAGCTGTAAGCATTCCATTGTTCACTGCTGCTGCCCACTCTCTGATGCCCAGGGCCATGCTCGCTGCTCCCTTCTCAGAAGACACCCACAGTCCACACCTTTCCAATAACTCATGGTTCCCTGCCTTATCCATTCCAGGCTTTGGGATGTTGAGAGGAAATGATGCTAGGTAAGGCCAGCCCCAGAACCCTTGGATAGTCATGGGTAAGATTTTCTTGCTTCAGTGCCTTCCACCCTATCTCCCTCTTACTGAGATAAGTGCACTTCTGCATACCTCAAAGCATTGTACATGGATAAGGGAACCCTCACCCTAGCCGGAGTCTAATGAGAACCTTCATAGTCTCCATCATAAAGAAGATGTTCCTGTTTCAGGGGTGGAAGTACCTCACCACAGAGACCAAGAGATTCCTTTTCCAAAAATCCATCAACTGATAAATGGATAAACGTTGTATGAATAGTGATCTATGCACAATGAATATTATTCAGCCATAGAAAGGAAGGAAACCCTGACACAAATTGCATGAACATTTGAAACCATTATTCTAAGTGAATAAAGCCAGTCACAAACCCCATATGTTAGTCATTGGTATGAAATACCCAGAACGGAGACATCTAGAGAGACAAAGTTTAGTGATTGTGTAGGGCTGGGGTTGTTTAGGAGGGTACTAAAGAGCTGGGGGTGAGGGGTGGTGATAGCACACATCTGTGACTATATGAAAAATCCTAAAATTATTCAATTGTACACTTTAGTGGGTGAATTGTGTGGAAAAAAAAGTACATATCAGGATCATTCAAACATAACTTTCCTTCATCTTCATTGACACTAACCTATTTTAGGTCATTATGATCAGTAGGCTGCCTTGTTTTAAAAAGAATTTTTTGAGGATCCCAGATGTACTACCAGCAGGTCCAAGTTTTAATCTTGACTGGAGTTTAACGTTGCAAATGTTCACACAATTCATCTGTGCAAAAGGCTGTACTGGAATAAAAGAAGGTATAGATGAGAGGTGGGCAGAAGTTGATTTAGGTTCTGGGTATGTGTGGTTTAAGATTTCTCTTAGAACATAGACATTCTCTTGTCCACTGGGGACATAATTCCTATTTGCCTTGTTGCCCTTCCCACCTCTATAGCTTCCCTGCTAGTGCTTAGAGTAACTGTTAACAAAACACTTAGGTTTCCTTTCCCTCTCTTCAGCTAATTACAATTTAATGCTATAAGAATAGGCACACAGTTGAAGAAAAGTGTTTTGATTGCCTTGTCCAAGATCAAGTTCAATATTCTTGATTTTTCCTTATGCAAAGAGAAGTCAGCAGGAGCACCATTTAGAAAATTTCTCCCAAGAGTGGTTAACATACCTATTTCCCTCTTTCTCCTCCATCACAGCAAATAAAAAACATGCCAGAAAACCACGGCATGGAGAATTAAAATTACCAAGAACTTCACCAGAAAAGCAAATCCCGCTCATTTGCCCCTTTATCACTATTGGAGGGTTTAATCAACGTAAACTTAGCCAGAACAGATCAGTTGTGTGCAAAGACATAAGCTTGTGTCCGCTGCGTCCTGTCCTTAGAGCTGTGGAAGCCACTGATCTACTCTGGAGCCCTAAGAGTGAGCCAGCGCGAGCTGAAAGCAAGCACAATGCTCACCCGCCCGAATGGGCCAGCGTGATGGACTTTCCTGAGTACTCCTGACCACGAGCCTCAGAGCTGCCCAACGGCCTTCAGCCTCAGAGGTGCTGGCAGCGCTCCGGACAG